GAAGATTTTCTTATAGAATGGAATGCGCTCTTTCAATAATAAGTTGGAACCGTTCGGTCTGAGTTGAGCAAAGTGTGCTTAAATCCATCTGGAAGTGGAGACAAAATGTCTTTTTTTATTGCCCCCCCCCTGTATATTTGCGCTTACTTTTTATCGTAATCGCTGTTTTGCACGAGCTTCTTGTTTCCCCTCAAATTGCGATTGCAAAGTGCGGAGCAAGTTGGGATGTCTAACTGAGCATTTGGATCCCGAATCCACAAAATACACGGTGTGCAGTTGTGATTCAAAATGTCATTCTCGCGCTGGTGGAGGCTCCTAAGAAGAGTGGTGTGGTGGTCAAATTCAAGAGACTGACAAGATAAAGGCAGTTGCTGAGCAGGACTTCGAAAGCACTCCGCCCCAAAAGCGATCCGCCCACTAGTTTAGTTGGTGATTTGGACGAGCTGCGTTGCCAGCAGCGGCACAACTGGAGCAACTCGATTGGAGCGTGGTTTGGCATGTGCCACCAAACGCGTTGCGGTGAACTCGTTCATACGTCCGATTTCTGAGCTGTTACCTGTTCATGAGTGAAAAAACGGCCAAGAAAGGGGGTCCCGTTTTGCGTTTTCTTGACGGATTTCAGCTTTTTTTTCGCACTGCGTGCCATTGAGCACCATTGAACCCTTCTCAAATGTATCGTAATCGCTGCCTTCAATATGTTGTGTTCAAGAATTTTACAAAGCGGCGAAATTCAGTAGTTGTAAAAAGAACTCTTCTCCCCACTGTAGTGCAGCCCCTGCAGCCCTATGTCGCACTTCCAACCGTGCACAAGTTGAATAACTGGACCAAGAAATGTGCTGCGAGCATTTTACACAGTGGACCTATTCCCTACCAACTATTGCGCATTCAACCACCTGGATGCTCTCCATAAAGAGGTCAAACCTCGAAATCAAATGTCATGGGGAATGACCTTCGTCGGGGGTACTCCGTCTCCAGAAGTCCAGCACTTCCAATATTCGGATCTAATGAACTACATTCTTGTTCGCGATATGGGGAAGGAACGGTTTTTCATATCGATCAAAAGCCGGGTTACGACGATGCAGTGCCCCGGCATCGTAATTTGCCGCGCACTTCTACGGTGGGCGAGAGGCGCGTTTTTGAGTTCCGCCCGGGGCGAAAGTGTTGTCCGTAGAGTATTCTTGTAAAGCAATTTCTTTAATACTGCGCGTGTGAAATGATGAATAGTCGAGTGGTTAATAAAAAAAGGATAAAGCATTTGCCGTTGATCAATCCCTTTTTGGGATGCGGCACGCATTCTACTTCCATTTGTACATTCGTAGTGGCATTTGTGGCCTATACAATGACTTGCGGGGGCCAGCCGATGTACAAGTCAGTGTTTTTATCCCAGACAAGTCTGGTACCAATTAATCCCCGAACCGCTCGCGTGGTAAGCGTGCCACTTGCCACTGCACCACCTACGCCTGAACTAAGAAACTCTGCGAATTTTGACTGAAAACGGGTGCATAGCGTAATTTGCAGACTTGCCTTCATTTCAAATAAGTGCAGTTAACCATAAGGGATATATCACACCATTTGCGTTCTATCTGACTGTGCTGCATAAGTGCGTTATGGGCATTAGATTAAAGCGATTTTGAGAATTCATAGAAGGAAGACGGATGCAGAAGCAGCGAACGAAAGAAAGCGTAAGAATCAGAAGAAAATTTGCCTCAAATAAAAGTTATCTTGAATAAAGGAGTTTAAAATTATGGGAAAATTCCCTGCATCATGCAAAAATAACCATCTCGAGAAAGCTCTCCTCAAATTGTGAATTGTGCTTTCACAATAGGCTACTTATTATTGGTAACTGTGACTGGATGGCTGTGTTTAGTATATCTTCGGCTTCTTCACACCTGCACACCGCATCCACAACTTGCTGGTTGTGGTGTTCCGCAACTGCAACAACAGCTGCTTTGCCCTCCACCGCCGCCTCCACCGAAGAAGATTGCTTGACTGCAGGCGAAAAGCGCCAAGACCACAGGTAAGGAGCATCACCTGAAATAATGCTTATTGAAAGTTCATTTCACGACCAGACGACAGATGGTCAAAAGTGACAAGATACAAGGTGGCCTGCTAGTGAAGTTGAAAGGAACAGAATTCTTAGGGAAAAGTGGGATTGAGGATATTCTTTCGGCTTTGGGTGAATCCATTACAAGAAGCCACTGGGTATGAGAACACATATAGAGGACGTGTATGACCCAGGCATACCCACCATTTAGACCGGTATGACGCGAACAACGTCTGCAAGGGTTTCCAGTGAAATGGCATGACCCTAACGCATTTTTCGCGCAATTGCAAGTCACAAGTCGCCACATTTCCCACCTCTGTGGAAAGCTTTTTCACCACCCATAAATTATGACCGTGTCAGCTTCCTGGCCGTGGAGAATCCCAAACTTGGTTAGCCTCCTAGGAATTCGAGGCTTGATCCATGTTAAATGCATGTGAGAGTAACGCCATCGTCATCAGTATCTCCCATGAAACAATGTAGGCATGCTAAGGTGGTTATTTTGAGATACTCGACGGCGATGATGGAATTTCGTTTCATCCACTCGATGAAAATAAGGGGGAGGCTGAATTGACGTGGATGGGGCTCCATCGCATGGGTTTTGCAAGCGGAAGATAGCATCCCAGGGTTCTGTTCGCTTCATGGTACGAATCGGTCAACCGTGACGTTGAGCAGATTTCCGAAATATCACCCCCTACCTCTTAAGGGGACCTCGGCAAGGCCAATATCACCACCATCACCGTCAGGGGGGAAGGGGGCAAATTGCTCTAAGGTACGAGAAATGTTTCGCCTATTTCATGCATATTCTGTGAAGTCTTTGCCAAATTTGTCAAAAACCCTGTCGAGAACCACCCCTTCCCCGACCGTTGCAGTACGACCCCCCCTAGAAATTTCAAATACGACCCCCTTGTTACCATGGTCAACGAAAACCAAAACACCCACGCCTCTTCTATTCAAAAATCCCAAATATGGCCTCCCTCACTGAGGGCCAGAAGCAACCCCTGTACCCTTACATATACATGAGCCTCGCTGATTGGTGGAATCACCAAAATTCACATGTTTCTGGACCAGCTAAGTAACAACACTGCGAAAGAGAGCCGCAAAAAGGTCAGCATATGAAAGGAATAAAAACAATTCAACAAGTAAGGAACGGTAAAGATCGCCTGCAGCGGACTTCGCCTAGTCTCATCAGTGAATTAGGGTCACATCCAGAATTGAGAGCGAATCACTCTTCACCATATTCCATAGTCATGAAGTAAACATAATACATTAAATTAATTCTCACAGGTTGAGCTAAATCAACTCTCAAAGAGATTGTAGTGAAAAGTACAAAAGAGACCAGCATCGCTTCGTTTCTCTTTTCTTATGCAAATCTGACTTTGCCTTAAAGTATTTTTATTTATAAGATTATTTATTGTTTGCTTACGACAATAAGAATAAATAAGGTCACAGATGGAATGTTAGGCCCTTGAAGCAGACTAGCCGAATTCTGGCGGCGACCAAGTTTATAAGTAATAGCGCAATGTACCTGACCTACTTAACATACCTGGTTTCGAGACGATCAGGTGTGGTATGCGAGTTGTTTCCGGGATCCTGATCTCCATTTTACTTATCGCTTGTGATTGCGGAGCGGATCTCTTGAATCTATAGAGAACGTTCTCCGACAGGTATTTGCTGTGCATCGGCGCGTTTTCGGTAAGATATGTTCGTGCGAAAAATTCCCCTATAGGTAATCATGTATTCCGTCCATCGAAAAAAGGTATTTCTTCAGCGAGACCATCGCTTTGTCTTGAAGGATGAAACGCGAAGCAAGCCCCCAAGTCATCAAGAGACCAAAAGCGCCGTTAAATTTCATCGCAATCCAGAATGGAAGTCAAATGGACGGCGAATCCTCAGACGAGTTCGAAGGAAAATATCGAACGCCTAATGGATGTCGTAGAGACGATTGAGCATTCTTTCTCACATCACTACAGTACTCGCCGTTTGAAATCGAAAATTCACGCGAATAACGCGAATCCTCGTTAATTTCGTGAATTCGTTATAACTCGGTTCAAAATTGAGCTTTCGAGAATCCGAAGATATCTTTGAACTCAGCTCGTCGACACTATAAGAATGTGCTTTGAAACTTTGGAAAAGCTCCATATAGGATTGCGCCATGCACTCGAGTTTCATCTCGAGAAATAACTGATTGGATGTGATGCGTACCTAATCACACTAGTGGAGCCTGATCGTTTCATAGAAAGATGGGCTTGGGGCATTGTCCCAGAATGCGCCACGTACTCGACTTTGTGCACTAGATTGCGAGATTAATTGAAATTTTTTTCAAGTTTCCATGATTTCTATTTCATTTCAAGGAGCTGAATGGTGAGACGTGTAGTCTCTGCGCCGAAAATCCCATTCTGTCGAGTTCCAGTGTGAAGTTCCAGTTGGAGCAGTCCCATTTTCCAACATTTTTCAGTTTTCCAAGAGGTTTCGTGGAGAAACCTGAGGAGATATCG